TTTAGTTACATATTGATCTCATGTAAATTCATCATTAATGAATGATTGACATGTTTTAAGCAGTTACTATATTTGTTACCATATTCGTTAATTTTGCAAGCCTTTCCGAATCTACTGAAGTAACTACTTAAGGAACAAGTCATGAACAACACAACACTGATCTCATGATTAATGAATCATGATGCAAATTTTATCCCAGGCAGTTACTATATTTATTATATCTGTTACTTCTGGAAACCTTTATGAACTACTGAAGGAACTACTAAGGAACTGCGGAAGGAACAAATAATGAATAACAAGCTATGCAAGTTAAATACTGATCTCATGTTTGTTCATTAATAAATTAATAAATCGACGTATCTATTCAACTAGCGACTATATTTATTAATGATTTGTACTTCAGTAGTAACTGAGTTATTACTAAGTATTTGTACCAATATATGAAAACTAAATGGTATCTTTAAAATACAAAGGAATAGAACCACACTGAGAAATAACTAAGAGTAAATTGGATTTGAAATTAAATTTGAATATTAAAATAAAAACTGAAAAAAAACTCTAATACTGCAACCTACGACAAAAAAGTTTATTATTGTATTTATTCATTAAAATTTGATTTCATGCAGTACATTCAATATTTTGTCATTTTTATTTTTATGAATCTGTTTAACGGGAAGGGAATTGGGACAAAAACTATACAAGGTAGTATGTTATGCACACAAAAAGAATAAGTCCATGGCCCCTCCAGAGTTCTGCAGAATCCACCATGCATGCACAGAGCACATTATGTACGCAAAATGGGCAAAAAATGTTCCAGCTATTATCTAAAGGCAGTATACAGGATTACATTTCCCTGAATTATTTCCAACAAGAAGGAAAAATAAACAAATTATTACCTTATCTAAGTAGTAGACCTATGTAAAAATGGTAATGAAAAGTATTTGACGTTTGTTTTTATTTTATTTCAGTCAGTATGGGAAGCAATATTTACAGGCTTAGTTTTTGTTTAGTTGTACCTTTAAAATGTATTTTTGTACATTTTATTTGTATCTTTCTTTGTATGTATTTTGTATCATTTCATTTTATGAAAATATTTGTTATAGTTTTTATTATCGTTAATGATAATAACCGTGGTGGGTGTAACACCAGAAACTGCCAAGTACAGTCTGTTGCTAAGTTTTTTTCTCTGACTGCCTCACTGCTTGGGTTTGACATGGTGTTCCATGCTCCATTTTGAACCAATACAGGACATTATTAGTATTTAGCAATCGCCCCGGCCCTGCCCCCCACTCCAGCGAACCTCTTATATGGGACCCAGGGGTGGGGAATGGGGTTCAATATTTCTTCAAAATGAAAGTGGAAACCGTAATTGCAGGTGTCTATGATTGTAAGCACTTGCATTCTGTATGTTCTACTAGATGGTAATGCTTCAAGTGGTGAAATAAGTTCACAATATTTCCTATTTTAGTTGGTACAAGGTTTGGGCAGAGATTACAATACACAGCACAAGACTTTAAATTGCCAAAGTACTACACCACACCAATTATGTCTTTTTTACCTTGTTTATCCACAATATGGCTGCTGAGCTGTTGCTTTCTTCACCAGCACTGACACAGAAGTTTCCTCTGACAAAGTGCATATGTATTGCCTAAACAGTGTTCTGTTAACTCAATCAACCTTGCTGTGCTTTTGTAAGTTGTCTGTTCTTAAAAGACTGCCAAATGATTGGTTGGAATTGTGTTTATTTCTGTAATGTGATTCAGATTCAGATTCAGAATACTGTATTAATCCCTGGGGAAATTATGTGATTACAGTTGCTCCAGGACAGTAAGAAGTAAGAAAGTAGAAAAAGTTAAAATACCAATGTTAAATAAAACAATAATATAATGATGTATGTTATCAAGCAATGTTCATTTTAAAAAATTCTCATTTTCTTACTGTTTAAATTTTACAAGACTATAATTCAATTTATTTTTTTTATATCACCCAACCCTTTTCTGGAGTAGTATTTCATGTCACATCATTCTTAGATGTTCTTACTCATTATTTTGCTTTGTTACAGGTTGTCCCATTGAAGTGGAAAGGATTATGTTATACTTATTTTACTGAAAAGCCCTGCCCTGAATCACTGTAAATACATTCAAAAGTCAGAGCCAATATTTACATCATTAACTAAATGAATCTGCTAAGGTCCTTCTCAGTCTCTATCGCAATATAACAAAGCAATAATGTCCAATAGGCAGTGGTACATCATGAATACAGAGACAGCTGAAGGATGTTTTTAGATATTGAATGGGGTGCCAGCATGCGTAAGACAATATTTAGGTTACATATCCTTCATGTATCAAATATGCTGCTTTAAATTCCATAGTAGCAACTCATCAAAAGAGAGTGTATAATAAAGAGAAAATAAGTCCAATATGACTATTACTGACCTTGAATTTGAAATCCCAGCCCAGTAAAAATTCCTGAAATCCAATCATTTCAACTAGCTGTTTAAATAATCCTACCCTATTGTTTGTCATAATCATAATTTTATTCAGAAGTTGGCTTGATGTCTAATACAATGGAGAAATTAATGGTAATAAAATATTATATGTGGATGGGTTGGTGCCCCATCCTGGGCAATTCCCTTCCTTGCTCCCATAACTTCCGGGATAGGCTCTGGACCCTGCATACATCAAGCAGGTACAGAAAATGGATGGATGGAAGCAGAATGGTTTCTTCCTTTTTGCTCAGGCAACTTTGAACAGCCCCATTTTTACCAGCAAGAACTGTAAAGATGCCAGCAGGAAGACTTAATTGTACCAGGTTGATTGGTATTGTGCATTAGGTCAAATAAAGCTTAATTAATGTTGAAATTTACTGCATTGTGCTTACACAATCAGTTTAATTTGTGGTGCAGCTTAGGAGATATGGATGGTTTTTCATTTTTATGCAGTACGGACTTTATAATTTCTGCATAATGGGAGTCATGGTGATCTAGCCTCTTTTTGACAGCTCTAGAAATGTCCAGGTGTGAAAAAAATGCATTCTAATTACATGAGATTTATCACATTGTTCCTTAACGGCAAAGATATATTTAAATTAACGAAAGTTAGTCAGATCTTCAGAGGAGTAGGAAGTTGGACTTTGGATCAAGGAGCTAGAATGTTTGTAGCATTGTTAGAGCCCTTATTAGAGTCTTGTAATGTTATACGGGGTTGCTCCCTGTATAGACATTCGAAATATTTTCCACAGATTATAGATATGATTTTTTGAAAACATGATCACCAAGAAGGAGAGGATATTCAAGATAGCAAAAAACATTAAACAAAGTCACAAAAGAACTGTTTCATACAATATAAACATCTTTGTCAGTGTAACACTGTGCTCTCGTGCCATAAACTGTCTTGTCAATGTGCATCAATGCCAACATCTGTATATGTTAATAGCGGATGGTGCACTCTGCACTATTAAGTTGTCCAACTAAGCTGTGAAAATACATCTTGCATCCTCACTTCAAATAACCCAAACACATGCATGCATACACACATAGATACAGTTGTTTAAAAATGACAATCACTGTCTTACTAGGAACAACAGATAATTGTTGAATACTCCACATTCTGGTTGTGTTGTGATGATAGTGTGACATTGTCATTGTCATTAAAGCTAGTCACATTTTCAGTTTTGACAAGTAAACTAAGCTAGACAATTTAGTCCACTTTGCTCAAGTGAATTAATCACTTCTGAGAGAACTATTGCCTATTAGCAACTATTGCCCATTGCTGTGTGAGATATTCTTTATATTTGCATACTTGCTGCTTGCATATTTTTATGGTAACACCCCCCCACCACACAGTCAGCTTGCATGTCATTGAATGTCCTTGCGAACAGCATGGTAAGTCATTGGGTAGCATTGTGGCTGTGTGTGTGTGCCAACCTTGCATGCACTCCCTGTTTTTTGCTGGTTTCCTCTGGGTAAACTGGTTACTCCCCATAGCCCAGTGGTCACTAACTGGCAGACACTAGTCTGCATTTGGATTGAAATACAGTTGAAGCTGGACTGTACAATGGATTTCCCCCCACCCCATCAGCAAATTTCCATCATCTCCATTTTTGTCACATGCAGTGAACCATGGTTATGCATTGTGGATCGATTGAGAAATGTATTAAGCATGGTGGGCTTTGTTTTATTTCTGGTCGAACTCATGAGTGAAAATATAGCAATTTAAAGTGTTTTGATTAAGCTGACTGATATACAAAAATATCTGGTTTCCTTTAAAGTTTCTCTCTCCATAATATATCAAGATAAGTAAGTTCAATAGAAGGATGTGCAATGAAATCCAGTGATCATCATTGTCAGCAGAAGGTTTCATGTGTGTTTATGATAAAAATTTCTGAGATGTGTATGGGTTGTTGATGGGAGAGGGAGAGTGTGTTCTTTATTTGTGCTTTTATTTTTCTTATTAGAAGCCTGGTGCTTTTGTGGGCCTGCTGCTGTCAAACTGCAAACAGGAAATTGCATTTCAATTTGATCTCTGTTAAGAGGATAACACAAATTTAAACAGGCAAAGAGAAAATGATGATTTCTTTGGAATGTTGCTTAATTAATGGAAATTTCTTATTGCTTTTATCTCAATAATTAATGGCTATGTAAGCTATTGATCAGTGTGACAGGAGTTAGTATAATTAATTGCTGCAGGTGATAATATTTATGTAGTGTTTTATATTTGGAATAATTATTTGTAAAAAAATATATATTTGTATATGTTGAATAAAGTTTTCATCTCATAGGGGCAGATCAAGTCCTCTTTGGTTTCAGTAATTTAAATAATGATATTAAATGAAATATTCTCGAAAAAGCACATTTTTTTAACTAAAATTTTGTGGGACTGTAATATTTGCAGTTAAACAGGTTGAATTAAACTCTCATTTGGTGTTTTCAAATAGTTATTGGTAAATTTGATTTTTATCCTCCATGTTACTGTTTTTGCTTTTTTGTTCTGATCCTACAGATATCTCTGGTCCTACAGATTCCACTGAATGCCAAGGCCATTTAACGTGCAGAAATGGCTAGTGGTGTGTTTCAGTAAAGATTTTTTCTACTTTGAGACGAAGTTCAACACTGGATCAACAGAGGAAGCAGTCCAGGTACACAAGAAAAAGTGAAACAGCTTACATTCCTCTCAGCTGCTCGCTTGCTTCATAACCCTGGTCATGAATATGCTTAGTCATTTGAACAGCATCCTGCTGCTGCTCCTTAGCCTGACCTCAGCATTACCATCAGGTCCTGCTTTGGACACCTGTACAACACTAGTACAGGGTCGCTTCTTTGGCTTTTTCTCCTCGTCTGCCGTCTTCCCCACCTCTTCATGCTCCTGGACCCTGCAGAACCCAGACCCGCGGCGCTACACCATATTCATCAAGGTCACCAAGCCCCCCAGGGGTAAATGTGCACCCCACCAGTTTCGCACCTACCAGTTTGACTCCTTTCTGGAGAGCACACGTACCTACCTTGGCATGGAGAGTTTTGATGAGGTGGTGAAGCTGTGTGACACCTCAGTGCCTGTCGCCTTTCTTCAGTCTGCCAAACAGTTTCTGCAGATGCGCAAGGTCATCCTACAGGATGGCAGGGACATTGTGGATTCCGAATTCAAGACAGAGTATCTGGTAATGGGCAACCGCAACCTCAGTATGCCCGCCTGCCAGATGCTGTGCCAGTGGCTGGAAGATTGCCTGGCATTCAGTACCCCTGGCCGGCCCTGTGGAATCATGCAGACTCCCTGTCAATGCGGAAAAGCAGGCATTCCACAGAACTCCGATGGCTGCTTCCAAGGTGACATGTACCTGGAAAACTGCATTTCCAGCGTGAGGGACGTGCCTCGCGATGCCGAGATTATGGGTGAGCATGCACAATCACTTGCCCATTATTTCACACTCCCTCATGCATTCTTGCACACACAGTGTGTTCCAGGGAGCTAAATAACTAACTGATTATCTAAAGACAATTGATAGTGTTTACCAAACTCCATTTTATGTGAGTTATTTATCTAAAGTAACATACACCTTACAGCACATGAGGTTAATTGCCTTATTAAACTTCGAATGGCAACTTTTTGCTTTAGTTTCACTTCACCACTACATGATTTTAGCAAATGGTATCCCATCTACATTGTTCCCTTGCCTTGTTGCCCGATGCTGCTGCTGTAGGCTCACTGTGATCCCCTGCTAGAAAAGCTATTGGGAAATGGATAGGTTATTTTTTTATCAACATTTTCTCATCTGATGGTTTGATCACTATGATATGGGTCTTTGCGGGTTAGGACTGTATATGTGATTGGGAGGCTGTTGGTTAAAATCCTGAGTCTGGCACCTCGTTGGATCCTTGAGCAAGGCCCCTAACACCAGCTGCACCAAGTGCTGGCTCATCCTGCTTTCTGATCCTCATTTATATTTACTATACCTTGAATTAAAACATCTACCAAAAAAAGAAAAAGCAAAAATGTAAAAAAAATGTGGAAAAAGGGGAAAAAGCAAATGTATAACCCAATGAGGATGTGAAAGAATCCATCACTAATTAAATTAATCTGAAAAGAGTTTTATGCAGTTATATACAAGTAAAATGACCTCTGAAATATGGACATTAAATTAAATGACTCATTTTTTCATTAAACCTTTCCACAGCATAAGTTGTGACAGATCACTACTGCATTTTGCATTTCCCTCATTGTACCTTACCGTTCACCTATATCCAGAGGAGATGGATCACATATTGGAGGAGGGGATCTGGGCTGCCCAGTATCCTGTTTCAGAGGGTGAATGTGTCAAAGGGGATTCAGAAGAGGGTGCTAAATTACATAGGAAGTGAGAGCATGAAGAGTGAGGTGGCAAGAGACGGGAGCAGGGGAAAGAGTGATTACGGCTGGCCGGAAAGACAAAGAAAACTTCTGTGAAAGAGAGGAGTAGCGACAGATGGGTGGGTGGGGAAGGTGAAGAAGAAGCTGGAGGAGCTGAAGGAGGAAGAGAAGGAGAGAGTGGGCGGTGTGACAAAGCAGTTTTTTTTTACAAAAAAATGTCAGTGAATGAGATGAATGAATGTTGTGTTTCATTTCTCATTGAGGCCTTCTGAAGCGTGGGAAGGGCAATGAGGCCCAGGTCAGATGCTGCTAAGCTAAGAGGTTTTACAGAAGGGATTTAATCGTGAAATTAATGATGTGTATGAACAACACTACCGACAAACACACAGGTGTACTCACGCCCTTTCTCCGCTGAACAGATATGTCTGGGTGACATAGAGCTGTCATGTCACCAGTTTCACAGCAGTAGGAAAAAGGCACAAAATCTGTATTGCTTTCTTCATGCAGCATATTTTACATCACATCCCACACAATTCCTCCAGTTGCAGAGACGGTGACTGTCAATTAACCATGTCGTGCTTAGCTTAATAAGCAGCAGCAATCTGCATATGCCTATGAGGAGACATTTCTATATATGTACAGGTTGTGTCCTTGCTAACGTGTTTGTTATTCTTCCATTTAAACCCACCTTCAAGTCCCACCTTTTCACAGTGGCATGCCTGCAGCACTGAAGCACCAGGGACCTTTAGTTCAATTAAATATAAATAGCCAGAATTCATGTACTAGCCCTGTATCTCCCAGTTGCCAGCAGTTGCCTCTCTATCTCCATGCATCTCCTGGAAGGATGATTAAAAATTCATGTTTTAATTAAACAATTTTATAGTTCTTACTTTATAGGCGATAAAAAGGCCATTCAGAGTTTGAGATGGGTGGGAGTGAATTAATTTTCAGTGATAAAGACTCGTAGGAATGAGAAAGGAGCTTCTCTCATTGTTATCCTTCTTCAAGTAGCTCACCACACATTTGCAGCTTTTCCAGAACAGGACATCAGTTCCTTGTTTTTAGCTATTTACTGCAGTGTGAACTCCTCCTTGTTCTTGTAATGCTTTGTGGAATTATGGAGTCCATCTGTTTGATCAGGTGGGGAATCATACAGAGTAGCCATACTACAGTGTAATATAGAGTGTATATAATAAGTATTTTACCATTACTATTCAAAAGTGAGTTTGATTACTAAATACGTAAACCCAGAGAATAAAATTGGCACTCAGGTATGTTCAACAAACCAAAATGTCTCAGAACATCTTTTTGACATAAGAAAATGTGATGCAACCATTGGGAAAGCCATGCAGCTGTTCTTTAATGGCCATTTTCAGGTCCTGCTTTCTGCTATGCAAGTATAGACCTCATGCTGTTCAAAAACTGGCATTTCCTTATTTGTAAAGCCTCTTACTCAAGCTGTATCTAAAGGTCTTGATATAAATTTTATACTTTTCATGTTATGCCCTTTTCAGCATTACCTCTGTGGATAAAGACATACAAAGGAAAGGAATTCTTTCCTTTTCTTCAAATATGATAGCTAAGAAATAAAAAATGCTGCTAGATTCGTTTTTACATTTTTTTTTTCAAATCTACTGGCTGTTCTGAATATTTCCTGGGAAATTTTAGAGGACTCACATAGAACCAAAGACACAAATTCTTTTGTTTTAAAGAGCTAGATGGGAGCTGGAAGGCGCACTGCAGTGGCTGGAGCAGTTTTACTGAAAAGGCAAGTGAAGAGTACAAGTTCACCATAGGAACATGTTTGCACTGCGCATCCTAGGTCCCAGTGAATAAACAACCTACATCTCCTATAAAATTTTCATGGACACCAGAGCTGTCATTGACCACATTATGAGATCACCTTTTCAGTTCCAGAGACAACAGTCATAGCATGGGTGGGCTGGCAGAAAATCAGTCCCATAAAATTTCACTTACTGACAAAATCATGCTGCAAACTCAATTACATATATTTCTTATCAGTTTTTAAGTGACCAAATTACATATATTTCTTATCAGTTTTTAAGAGACCAAATTAACAAAGAGAAATAAAAATCTATGTGAACGCTGAATGGCTGGGACAGTGCTCCATCTGAGAGGGCCCAGGATCACTCACGCTCCCATATTGCCACGGTGGCACCATTCACACACTGCAGTCATGCCGCAGGTCTGCGATTTACTGTCTGCTCCATTTGTCCATCCATCCATCCATTTTCTGAAACCATTTGTCCTATACAGGGTCACGGGGGGCTGCAAGCCTATCCCGGAGGCTACGGGCACAAGGCGGGGAACAACCCAGAATGGGGTGCCAACCCATCGCAGGGCACACTCACACACCATTCATACACACATGCACTGCTCCATTTGTAAAAGCAGAACATGTTTAAAAATATTTGATCTATGGCAGTTACAATCCTGTCTACCTACAGTTCATTTAGGATAGTTGGCTACATATGTGTGCAAACAATCCTTCAGTCTAAAATATTCATGTTTAGAGAAAAACAGACTGAAAGGGGATAAAGGTCTGAATGTGCTGTTGGACTCTTTCAGAGTTTTAAAGATCTCCTGAAAAGGACATCCATCTTTGAAACTAAACTGTCAGGTGCATTAGCCTGCTTCACCAGAAAAATAAATAAACATAACCTGGCGTTTTGTAGCAGCTGAAAACATCATGGAGCGAAAAGCCTCCCGTCATGTTGTCATTCGGCCCCTTTCGTGTACTAGATGTGCTAAGTAATTTTAAGGCTTTTGAAAGAGTACTCTGCCCCATGCCGCAGTAGCAGCTAGCTGTGTGACGCTATGAGAGTCCTCGTGCCCTGCATTCATTCCCCCAGGGAAGCAAATCAATCAATGTGACATGATCATGTGCACCCAGCTGTTTAAATATTTATCCAGAGCAGAATATTGACTGTTATCTAACACCTGGCAAGCAGTGGATTAGTTCTGTTAGCTTTAGGTAATGGGAGGCACTTCCTCAAGGCCCCGCGAAGCGACTTTGCCAATGGAGGGGGGACGGGGGACGGGGGCCGGGGGACAGAAGGGTGTAGTATGACAAATAGAGGGAGAGAGGGATCAACAGTGACAGAGGAAGGGGAAGAAATTGTACTGACTGAAAAGAGGAGTACAGGACATATTTCTAGTAAAGAGAGAATGTACAGTCTGGAAAAGAGGTAAAGATCGGAATCAGGATAATACTGTGACAGAATGCGGAATAGAGAAGAGGAAGTAAAAATGGAAAAATGAGTTTGATTTGAAGGAGGGAGAGACATGATACAAAGGATGGAAGAAGAACAAAGCGGAAAAGAGATCCCCATACGACTGCTGGCATTTGTCAACATCATCTTGTTGTCCCATCCACAAGGTGTCCTGAGAGGAGTCAAATCCTTATGAACCTACATCAAAAATACGATGGAATAATTAGGGTATTTAGAGAAAAACTAATATTGTTTAACATCTGATAAAGAAATAACACCTACATTCTACAGCCCTATTATTCAAATCACGGTCCTCGTGGTCCGAACACTGCTGGTTTTCCAGCCTTCCTTTACCTGTGAGCCAGGTGTGAAGCCTCTGACCAATCAGAATCAGTAATTATTAAACTAACTACCTGGGAGAACTGAAAACAAGGTCCAGATTTGAAGAACCCTGTTCTACAGGAAGCATGAACAGAGGGGAGATCTCAGTGACAGATCTGCTGTATCTGCCCTCTAGGTGGCAGCACTAACCATATGATGGAGAGGTTTCTTTAGTAGCTTTTCTGGCTGCCTCTCCATCTTCTTCCACTCTGAGTACCTCTGCATGCTATATCTCCCAATCTACAATCTCCCAGACATTTCTCTGTAGACTCCACTGTTGATTCCTATGTGTTATTGCAAATTTGTTTGCAAAGCCAGGAGTAGGGGGCAGGACAACATATGACAGAGAACATGAATGCATACCATTGTCCTGCCCAGCATTTCTTATATTAGCAGTGTCACTGAGAGACATCATGTTAGCACTGTGTCAT